TTGCTCGAAAGCCAGTCGAGTCCGACTCTAGGGTTGCGGTGCTCATCTCCGTTTCAAAGCCGAGGAGCCAGCGCTGTCCGAAGACGTTTCCGTGGTCACGTGGCCGGCATGACTAAACACCAAGGTGCACAGAACGCTGTTCCCTTCCCACCGAAGTGGTACCTATTTATCTACTTGCAATTTCTTGCTTTCAAACTGCTAGGTGGGCAGGAGCTGGAACTAGAGACGGGAGCTCACTCCGTCATGCGGCACACTCAGGTCTCGAACTGCTGAACTACCGACCTTCCACAGCCTGCAGTTCAGCGTCTTAACCACTTGAGCCACCGCAGCACCTTAAAGACTAACAAAATATGTGGCAGGGGAAGAGCTTTCGTGAGTCCCTGCTCACTTCTTCAGATATCTGAAGAAATGACCGGTGACTCACGAAAGTTCATCCCCGGCCACATATTTTGTTAGTCTTTACGGTTCTGCTGGACTCTTGCTCTTTTCTACTGCTACAAACAGCCTGAGACCTTGGATAGCTGCTGCCAGTCTGAGTAGACAATACTGACTTTGATGGACTAAGGGTCTGATTCAGTAGAAGGCTGCTTCCTGTGTATACATGCGTATCCATGCAAGAAATAGGGATGCCAACCTCCATGTGGGACCTGGGGATTCTCTAGAATTACAGCTCATCTCCAGACGATAGAGGTCAGTGAGTCTCCCCTGGAGGAAACGGCTGCTTTGGAGGGGGGACTCTGTGGCCTTGTGCCCCACTGGGGTTCAGGGATGCCAGCCTCCAGGAGGGGCCTGGGGATCCCCCCGGAATTCCAGCTCATCTCCAGACTATGGAGATCAGTCCCCCTGGAGGAAATGGCTGCTTTGGAAGGTGGACTCTGTGGCCTTGTGCCCCACTGGGGTCCAGGGATGCCAGCCTCCAGGTGGGGCCTGGGGATCCCCCGGAATTCCAGCTCATCTCCAGACTGCAGAGATCAGTTTCCCCTGGAGGAAATGGCTGCTTTGGAGGGGGGACTCTGTGGCCTTGTGCTCCACTGGGGTCCAGGGATGCCAAGCTCCAGGTGGGGCCTGGGGATCCCCCGGAATTCCGGCTCATCTCCAGACTGCAGAGATCAGTTCCCGTGGAGGAAATGGCCGCTTTGAAGGGTGGACTCTGTGGCATTGTGCTCCACTGGGGTCCAGGGATGCCAGCCTCCAGGTGGGGTCTGGGGATCACCCGGAATTACAGCTCCTCTCCAGACGGCAGAGATCAGTTCCCCCAGAGGAAACGGCTGCTTTGGGGGGGGGGGCTCTGTGGCCTTGCGCCCCACTGAGGTCCCTGTTCAACCCAGGCTCCATCCTCAAACCTCCAGGGGTTTCCCAGCCTGGAGCTGGCAACCCCACCCCCACCCTCTACCGGGGGCCAGTGGGGACCTGGCGACTCCAGCCAGAAAGCACATGAGATTGTTGCTAATCGACTTTCTTTTCCAGGTGGACTCCAAGACTCCCACTGCCGGAGGTCAAATGTGTTTGCAGAGCCGGAGAGAGGGGTGGAATTCGGGGAGGACCGGCAGAGAAGAGAGCGAGAGTGGCTCACTCCCCCCTCGTGCCAGCTCTCCCCCACAGATGCCTCAAGCCCTGGCACCGGCTTCGCAGAACAGACGCAGAAATCAGGGACCCGTGGAAACCGCTTGCTGAGGCCAGGCCTGCCGCGGCCCACTCCCTCACCAGTCACACGCCCGATTGTTTTTCTCTGTTTCTCTGCCAACCCCGAGGAACAGGCACTGCAGCCACTTAAAAACGGCCGTGCGCTTTTTGAAAGAGACAGCTGCTGAGATCCCAAGGGCCCAGGGAGACGGCTCATGCCCAGAGGTCGCTGTGTCAAGCCTCTGCTAGCAGCTGCTGCCTGGCACGATGGCTTGGCCATTTCCTCTTTTCCTGCCAGCAGGAGTCAATGTGTTTTAGGGGGGCAGGCTATGGGCACCCGGCCAATGAGCTGGCCTTCTGCCCTCACTAAGCCTCTGGGGCAAGGGTCTTCAAACGTTTCGAGCCTGTGGGCACCTTTTGAATTCTGACACAGGGTGGTGGGTGTAGCCACAAAAATGGCTGATGCAGGAGGCGGAGCCAGCCACAAAATGGCTGTCACAGGTAGTGGGGCCAGTCACAAAATGGCTGCCACAAGAGGCGAAGCCAGCCACAAAATGGCTGCCACATAGGGCTGCCAAGTGGGGGCGGGTAAACCCCCGCTTTGGAGGCCCGATTTCCGCCGCCACGGCGGGGGGGGCGCGGGTAAACCCACGCTTTAGAGGCCCGATTTTTTGCTGCCGCGGAAGAAACTCTATGGTTTTCCCTCTGCCGATCAGGGCCACGCCCCCAACGTTCTCTATGTCGTGCGCGCAGGTCCCGCAGCAACTCCCAGAGCCAAGAGACAGTCCCCTGCCAGTGAGTACAAAGGACTTGGCAACCCTACTGCCACAGGTAAAGCCAGCCGCAAAATGGTTGCCACAGGTGGTGGGGCCAGCCACCCCAAAAAATGGCTGCCACGGGGGGCGGGCCCAGCCACAAAACGGCTGCCACAGGAAGGTGGATCCAGCCACAAAATGGCTGCCATGGGAGGCGAAGCCAGCCGCAAAATGGTTGCCATAGGTGGTAGGGCCAGCCACAAAATGGCTGCCACAGGAGGCGGGGCCAGCCACAAAATGGCTGCCATCGTTTACCTTCAATTACCCAGCGTAGATTCTTCTGCCACGCTGGCAGCTACTGCTCAAGCAATTACCAAAAAAATCTGCGCAACCAATCAAATCTCCAGTGACCAATCAGAACTTTGCGGGGCAGAAGCCCCACCTGACTGCACGAACTTTCTAAAAAAAATTGGGGGGAGCCAGGAAAGGCGTTGGCAGGCACCCACGGGCACCACCTGGGAGCAGTGTTCCCTCTAAGCTGAGTTAGTGTGAGCTAGCTCACAGTTTTTTAGCCTCTGGCTCACACATTTCTGCCTTAGCTCAGGAAGGAGGGCTCCAGAGCAAATTAATTGATGCAGGAGCCAATTTCCTCGCTCACAACTTTAATGCCGGTAGCTCACGAAGTAGCATTTTTGCTCACAAGACCCCTCAGCTTAGAGGGAGCATTACCCGGGAGACCCCTGTTCTAAGGGAGCGGGAATCAGGCTGTTCCTACGCCCTCATGAAAGCAGGCCTCAGCAGGCAAATATTACAAAACATTACCATTTTAACAACGGCTTTAACATCCGATTCCATGACCGTTGGGGGACCCTTTTGCAGCCCCGTTCCTCAGCATTCGATGCTGGCTGATGCCTGGGGTGTGTGTCTGTGTGACGTCCCTTCTGACGCGTTCTATCAAAGGCCAAGCGTCCTTCTTGGTCGGCTGCTTTGTCCCCAGAGGGGCACTGAGCGACCCGGCCTTAGAAATCCGCAAACTGAAAAAGCAAAGGACTCGGCGCACACTCTCATTCTCCAGGGAGCCAAAGGCTCCTACAGGCAGAGGGTGGACGCTCGCTCACCCAGAGCCCAAGCACGTTCCAACAGTCGCTCGAAACCACCAACGGCTGCGTCAGAGGCCCGCTGCCGGGCACTGCAGGCAGCTGTAACGAGACGTTTCCTGTTTTGCTCCTGAGGGCGGTACCACCATTATGTTGGGGGGGGGGGGAGAGAATGGGGTTTGGACATGCCCCAACTTCCTGTGTCATTCCCCTGGAAAAGATAACGGCATAAACATCCTCCCAACGTTGCAACAGTTAGCCCCACCCCACCCCCGTTTGCTCTGAGCCCCTATCCGTCGACAGCTTGCTGAGGACTAAGGGGCGGGTGGGAACGAGATAAGAGGTTTATAAGGTTATGCATGGCGACGAGGAGAACTGTTTCCCCCTCTCCCAAAACACTAGAACTCAAGGGCATCCTGTGAAACTGACGGGCAGTAGGTTCAGGACGGACAAAAGGAAAGACTTCTTTACAGGGAGTGGCTAAAATCTAGACTTCGCTGCCAGAGGACGTGGTGATGGCCACAGGAATAGGGGGAGTTGAAAATTCGTCGATGCTTTGGAGGGTGGACTTGATGGCCTTGTACCCCACCAAAAGCTTTGAAAGGGGATTAGAAGATTTGTGGAGATGTCCATCAGCAGCGACTGGCCGCGGTGACTAAGGGAACCTCCATGTTAAGATGCAGTCAACCTCGGAATACCAGTGGCAGAAGGCAACATTGGGGAAGGCCTCGGCCTCTCTGCCATTTGTTGGCCCTCCAGAGGAACTGGCTGGCCCCTGTGTAAGATGGGAGGCTGGACTAGAGGGACCCTCCCTGGTCTGACCCAGCAGGGCTCTTCTGATGCTCTTATCAGGGGAAGGCCTTGGCCTCTCTGCCTTGTTGCTGTCCCTCCAGAGGGACTGGCTGGCCCCTGAGTGAGACGGGAGGCTGGACTGGAGGGAAGGCCTGGGCCTCTCTGCCCTGTTGCTGGCCCTCCACAGGAACTGCTTGGCCTCTGTGTGAGACGGGATGCTGGACTGGATGGACCTGCACTGGTCTGATCCAGCAGGGCTCTACTTCCGTCCCTCTGCAAGGTCTCCCAACCATCCTGCTTTGACCCGTTTATCTGGAGATGCTGGGGATTGAACCTGGGACCTTCTACATGCCAAGCAGAGGCCCTGCCACTGAGCCAGGGTCTCCGGTCAAGGTCTTTCCCGTCACTTCCTGCCTGGTCCTTTCAACTAGAGATGTCGTGGACTGAACCTGGAACCTTCTGCGTGCCAAGCAGAGGCTCTGCCACTGAGCCAGGGTCTCAGGTCAAGGTCTTTCCCTTCACCTCCTGTCTGGTCCTTTTCAACTGGAGATATCAGGGACTGAACCTGGGACCTTCTGCATGCCCAGCAGATGCTCTGCCTCTGAACCACAGTCCAAACACTGCTCCCATCATCCCTTTGAAGCAGTCAGGAAATCCAAAGGAAGAGTCCTTCTCCCAACACCCCATCAATTTACATAATTTTCCTTTTAATTTAAACAAGATTTTGCTCTCTTTTCTTGAGCAGTTCATCTCTGCCCAGCGACGGGCTAGGACTTCAGCAGACGAGTTCGCTCCGGCGTACCCGGCGGGAAGCACCTTTCGCTCCCGGCGGCCTCCCCGGCCCCTGCCACAGAACGCTATGGGAGGTCGCTGTAGGGCAGCCGGTAAGGGTACAGCTGGCGGTACCGCACGTCGTGCCAGAGGAGCTTCTCTTCCAGGAAGGAGACTGTGTCCAGGGTGAGCACCAGCGTCTCGTGCTTCAGCATGCTGTGCACGTTCAGGCCTGCAAGAGGGGGGGAAAGAGAAGCGGGTGCTGAGGGCCGGAGCCACGGGGGACGACAACAAGCCGGGCCCCCTCCCTTCCCAGGGCATGAGGGCCAACAGGGACCCCGATCCTGAATGGTGCTGAAGACGGGAAGGATTGTTATACAAATAGATTCCCCATTTTAAAAAATGAAGTCAAAATGAGGAGGAAGGTCATCATGTTTTAATTGCAGCCAAGACACCTGAAAACAGGCCATGGGTGTCAAGCATGTGGCCCAGGGGCCGAATCAGGCCCCCGGACTTGGAGGGCTTCCATCAGGCCCGCAGTGGAACTGGCCATCTTCTGCCTCCAGTTCTGCTGCTGCTGCTGCATCATAGCTTGCTTCGCCAGACTCTCTCAATCGCTCAGCCATTTCATGTTCCCCCCTGGGTCCTAGACTCAGAACTCTGAGCGTGAGATTTCTGTGGTGAATGTCGATAAATCAAAAGTAAGTTTGCAGCTTACAGAGCTAATGTTTTAAGCATGTTTTTATTTTAAGTAAAAAAAAAAACCTTTGTGTCCTTTGTAAAGTTTATGTCTCAGCTACATGGCATGACGTTTTATGACACACAGGGCCCGGCCCAACAAGGTCTCCTTTATGTCAGATCCAGCCCTCATAACAAATGAGTTCGACACCCCGGAGTTAGGCCAAACAGCCCATCAAAAATGACTGCCTTCTGAACACAATCGGGAAGTACATGAAGTTTTATACTTGAAATGACATAGCCGTGAAGATAACATTCAAAAAGCATAGTTGGTTACAAAGGACAGTGCATCATTTGAGTAAGAGTCCACTCACTGGTCAAATAGGAAGAGAGGTGTGTCTACATGATATCTTAAAATGTTTATTTAACCTAACCTGAATAATATCGGCCAAGGATTCTTCATACCCAAACCCCGCCCTTCACTCAAATTCTCAGAGTGGCTCACAATCTTCTTTCCCTTCCCCTCCCCACAACAGACACCCTGTGAGGCAGGTGGGACTGAGAGAGCTCTGACAGAAACGGCTCTTTCAAGAACAGCTCTGACTGAACTTGGGACTGACCCAAGGTCACACCAGCAGCTGCATGCAGAGGCATGGGGAATCAAACCCGGTTCTCCCAGACTGGAGTCGGCGCACTTAACCGCTACACCATGTCGGGAGGAGAACCGGCAGCTTCCATATCCAACACCAACCTTCCCTTCCCCACCCGTCCTGACCCCACTCACCTATCGCTGGAATGACCGTGATCGTTTTCAGACGACTCGCAGCAGACTGGATGTTCTCCGGGATCTCGTTGCTGCCAGAGAGGGAGGGAAAGAAAAGTCTCAGGGGAGGTCCAGGTTCTCGTGGCCTGAAATGTGATCGACTCCCACCCCCCGTTCCATTCTGGCCCAATGTACGGGGACGTGGGTGTCACTAGGGCCGCCCGCGGGTCGCTGGTGGGAAATGCCCGCATCTGGGCAACCAAGCTCGAGAGACCATCTTTATTATTTTATTCATTTAACTCATATCCTCTCCTCACCCAACGGGATCCAAAGCAACTTACGCCATTCTGCTCCGTTTTATTGCAATTCTGCAGGGCCTGCGAGACGGAGCTCTTCCACCAGGCACTCGAGTGAGAGCCACATATAATATCTAAACTTAAAATCAGAGCCTTACCCCCTGGAATTCTTACCATCGGCTATTACCCACTATTGACTGACACCTGTTTGGATAATACTCGGAAGTTGTTGTTCGCTGCCTGATGTGCAAGATCTATGTATAGCACTTCAGAAATTGTGATGTGATTTTATTCGGTTTTTTAAATTTTTAGGTAAGCTGCCCTGAGCCTGCCTCAGTGGGAAGGGCGGGGCAGAAATCTAATTTAAAATAACAATAATTTTATCCTCACAACCACCCTGCAAGGTGGGTTAGGCTGAGAGCATGTGGCCAGCCCACGGTCACCCAACTAGCTACCATGGCAGAGTAGGGGATTCGAACCTGGGTTCCACGGTCACCCAACAAGCTACCATGGCAGAGTAGGGGATTCGAATCCTAGTCTAACACTCTAACCACTATACAACGCCAGTTCTTGTTCTGTTAGAAAAGTAGCTCAAGGTCTTTTAAGAAGCTCCACCAACTACGACAGATAAGGGGCTCTTCAAGGGAAGTCTGGCCACTGCCGGGGAATTTCTCTTCTAGAGAAGAAGAAGAGATTGGATTTATACCCCATGGCCCCTCACTACCCGAAGGAGTCTCAGAGCGGCCTACAAACTCCTTCCCCTTCTCCTCCCCACAACAGACACCCTGTGAGGTAAAAGAAGAAGAAAGAGAGATTGGATGTATACCCTGCCCGTCACTACCCAAAGGAGTCTCAGAGCGGCTGACAAACTCCTTTCCCTTCCCCTCCTCACAACAGACACCCTGTGAGGTAAAAGAAGAAGAAGAGATTGGATTTATACCCTGCCCTTCACTACCCGAAGGAGTCTCAGAGCGGCTCACAATCTCCTTCCCCTCCCCACAAGACACCGTGTGAGGTGGGTGGGGCTGAGAGAGCTCTTTCGAGAACTGCTCCTGAGAGAACAGCTCCGAGAGAACCTGTGACTGACCCAAGGTCACCCCAAGCAGCTGCAAGTGGAGGAGTGGGGGATCAAACCCGGCTCTCCCAGATTAGAGTCTGCGCTCCTAACCACGACACCAAAGAGACACCCATGTTCCTGGCACAGGTGTGAAAACCACAAAGTCGGAGGAAGAAAAACACCTTAGCCCCAGCTTAGCGTGCCACGGCCAAACCCAAAACTGTCCCCCACTCGCTCCAGAAGAAGAAAGCAGTGAAAATGTTACGCTTCCGCAGCTCCGACCTCCCACCACAAGGTGGATCCACTGCAGGGGGGGGGGTTCAGAATACGCTCACTGGGCAGCCAGCCAGAACCTCAGTCCTAACCCCCCCAGTGAGAGTCCAAAGCAAACTCACACATCCACAATCAGCGCCGATGCCCCCCAGCGCCTGTAACGGGCCAGGTCCGTCAGATACTGGGGGTCTGAAGTTGGTATCTCCAGAGAGTCAACAATGCACAGGTTGTCCTGGGGGGTGGGGGGGGGGAGAGGAGGGAGAGAAAAAGTACACATCCACAATCAGCGCCGATGCCCCCCAGCGCCTGTAACGGGCCAGGTCCGTCAGATACTGGGGGTCTGAAGTTGGTATCTCCAGAGAGTCAACAATGCACAGGTTGAGATTTAATCATAGAATCACAGAATCATAGAGTTGGAAGGGACTAGTGTTCCCTCTAAGCTGAGTTAGGGTAAGCCAGCTTACATTTTTTTGGCCTCCGGCTTACACATTTTTGTCTTCGCCCAGGAAGGAGGGCTCCAGAGCAAACGAACTGATGCAGTGGAATGCAAGACGGAGCTCTTCCACCAGGCTTTCAACCAGGAGCCGCCACGAATAGTTGAAAGGTAGAGAGCCCTGCCCCCTGGAGCCACTAACAACAGTCTGTGATCGCCGCACAGGGATAGATCTATGGACCGATCACCAGTGTTCCTGAGAGAACAGCTCCGAGAGAACCTGTGACTGACCCAAGGTCACCCCAAGCAGCTGCAAGTGGAGGAGTGGGGGATCAAACCCGGCTCTCCCAGATTAGAGTCTGTGCTCCTAACCACGACACCAAAGAGACACCCATGTTCCTGGAACAGTTTTGAAAACCACGGAGTCGGAGGGAGAAAAACACCTTAAAGTTGTGATGTCCTAGATTCTGCTCTGTGATCCACCCTGAGCCTGCTTGTGGGGAGGGTGAAATATGAAATTATATTATATTATATTATATATATCTAACAGCCAAGGTGCCCCCAGCGTGCGGACATCTAAAGCCACACATCGGGGGAACCTGGGGGGCAGGGAGATTTTCCTGCACATTTGGGGCAGTCCCCAGGTGTGCAGAAAAATCTGAAATCTATAAAAAAACTACAGGGGGGATACTTAAATCCCCCCAAAAGTAAAGGAGCGTTCTCTGCGCGTGCGCAGGGAACGCAATTACCAATAGGAAGTGGGGCAGAGCTATGCAGGGCTTGGTGCCATTGCGGCTGTCCTCGTTGT